GGATAGAGACTGACTGACGGATAGAGACTGACTGACGGATAGAGACTGACTGACGGATAGAGACTGACGGACAATAATGGGGGGCGAGACAAAAAAAAACAATCTTAAGACAGTGGAATTTACTATCAACATTAATTACAATAATCACACGTGATTAAGATAATTGCAATTATTTGTTCAGTAAGGCTGCAATGTATGTATTTATTAACTGGTTATTGGAATTCTGTTCTCTTGTTTAACAATTGTTTTAATTTGTAACAATACAAAAATAAACAATTAAATGTAAATTGGTGCACTTGAGCGCTTTACAAGTACGGTTTTCGAATCACATGTAGAGTTACAAATTTGCGAAGAATGCGATATGAAGCTTCATTGATTCACTTAATATTTACTTTTTTCTCACATTCGATTCTTGTTATTGTCTGTATTATTGTTCTTGTTATCTGTTATTCAGTGTTGCTTCATTTCTGCACGTTTTGCAAAAACGAAAAAGCATAACAAGAGATTATCTGTTCGCTACTAAAGAGTGGGAGGTACCATGCCTAGCCCATGTCTTTATTTCTTAAGTGTATAGGACTTAGTTGAAATATTCAAGCACGTACTTGCATATAGGTAATTGTATATTATTTTCTGACATCATCAGCTCTCGTCTACTGTACTAACATTGCCGTCTTTCCGTGTCAAGGACAAGCGTTTGTCATTCCTGGATGGTCAGGAGACGCTGCTGCTTCCTGGAGAAACCAAATGCACTGCACCAAAATTTCAATTTTTGTAGTTAATAATGTTATCTACAATACAAGGTCGCAATGAATTGTGCTTAATTCTAGATATGGATGAATTATAAAAAAGTTTCATAGGTAACATTTTAAAGGGAACTATTTTGTTATCTGCAAATAGTTTTAATTGAAGTGTAAAAATAGAATATTTGGACTATACATTAAGTAATTGCCTCCCGGTACCCCATATTCCCATTCTCCCTTGTGTCATCTCGCTCGTCTTCAAAATAAGTGCCCAATAATATGACGGTGTCCTCATTACTAAGGAATAGCAGCTATGTGTACAAATACTCTCATCGAAACAGAATGGTGGAAGAATGTTACGGACGATGTTTTTGGCTCGTGAGAGCTAGTTGCACATTGCAACAAGTCAAAGCTCCCTACTTTTACAGCTATTACGCACTCGGTCAAGCAAACAGTTGTTACGAAGCAGAGCACTGTGTGATGGCAACACAATTCCGCTTTTTCACCAAAGAGGAATGTCAAACAAAGAAAACGCCACGGCAAACGAAATTCGTATGAACAATAAATCAGGCGATTTTTGAAATTCATCATCTGTATCATCGACGACGTGTGTGTTTCTTTCATTACACACATCAACTTCCATTTGTAGGAGAGGATCACATTTTACGAGATTTTGATAATTGCATGAATGAAAACTCATAACATATCTTAGACTGACCCACAAAAGGAATTGGTTTCAGTTTGCTACCGCACAATTGTGTTCTGAAAGGTTACATTGAGAGATCAATATTTAAGAGGTAAGGTAATGGATATGTCCCTGGCACTTATTTTCTATATGTTGTTCTACTCCTATTACCTATTTTCGTTTTTTGTTAGTAAATATTGGGCTCTGACGTCGTTTAATATCTTTTTACTTCTTAGAATATTACTCGTAGAAAGAGAAGCTGCAAGGAAAATACTATTTTTAGATAGAAAAACTTGTTTTGTGGATACTTGATAAAGAAAAGGTGTATTTTTCTTGTTCCATATGTAGTAAATACGAGTAATTCTCCTCCTTTTTCGATGGCACTCCCGTCCGTGTCGGGCTCGACCGATGATCCGCCTCCAGTTCTCGCTGACCTACCCGCTCGCTTCCAAATACTCACTCCCAACCGCCCCCTCGCCCGCTGCCCGTCGCACTCCATCTATCCTGCCTCGTCTGTGCCTACCAACTGCCCTATTTTCGCTTTCTTTTATCCCCACCGCTCCATGCCATAAGGGTGGATTACGCCGTACTCGTCGCACCCAACCTAGTCGAACGGTGTGTAACAATGTAATTACTTCTGATTTATATACGTTCTAAAGATCTATATTAGTGCACCATCGCCACTTCTCAATCCCTTGTGTCTGAACAATAGTTTTTCTCAGAAACTTCCTTTCGAAAATAGTAAGCATCTTTTCGACTTCCTGTAGTATCGTGCACGAGTCGCATCCGTAACACACAGCGTCACTCTATGGTTAACTTAGTTTATTGATTTTTTGTCTATTTTCTACTGACACATTTCTCGATTAATACTTGCCTAGTGTGTAGAACTATAATACTGTGAAAATATGCTGATGTTTTTTTACAGAAAACTCTTATAGTGAATACCTGACACCGAAAAGTGAATAATTCTTACACCTATATGAAGAAAATTACTTCATATAATACAATGTTATATCAGAATCAACCTTTTGTGATCACTTTGTCGCTGTATGTGTGGCTGCGTGTGCGTGTGTGCGTGAGTGTGTATGTGTGTGTGCGTGGGTGTGTATGTGTGTGCGCGTGGGTGTGTGTGTGTGTATCTGTGTGCGCGTGTGTGCGTGCGCGCGTCATTGGGTGTGTGAGTGACTGTGAGTGTGCGCGTATTTGTGTGCGCGCGCGAGTCAGTGCATGTGTGTGTGTGTGTGTGTGTAATGACATCATATGTTGTTTAGCTAGTATTATTGCCTTGATGTAAACCGACAAAGTCCTGTGCTCGTGGCGCGTGTTGAAACGGTACTCTTGGCAATGAACAAGCTATTGTATAATTTACTATTTATCTTATTTTGAATTTATTATATTATAATTTGTAGGATAGTTATGAGATTTATTTTCAATATAGAATGATATTTATTTTACAAAAGGTATTGATACATACAAAACATTAATAAACATTTAAAATTGTTTTTTCGTGTTTTATGGCTAAATCACAAATTGTAACGAAAGTTTTGGAGCCGA